TCGGCCCGCCGGGTTGCCCGCGGCTCTGGAGGGAGAGGGCGGGCCAGGCCCCGTGGCTTGGGGACGCCGGGCCGGGCCGCCCCTTCCCCGGCCGCGCAGCGCCTCTGTCCCCAGGCGGGCCGGTGTTTGGTGACCCGCACAAGCAGCACTGCTCGCCGGCGGCCCGCAGTGAACCGGACGCGGCGAGCCCATGCCCGACCGGGTCCAGCGCAGGCCCCGAGCCCGCACGGCGAGGCCTGGAAGAGCCAGGAAGAGCCTCCAGGCCCCGACGGAGGCGGGGCTGCCCTCCTGCGGAAGCTAACGTTCAACCGGATCGCTGCCGGAGGATGCCCGAGTTCACTCTTGGCTCATGTTAGAGACCGGGTGTTGCAAATCCAGATTTGGTTACATTTTAACTGTGTGACCTTGAGCCAGAAGGGGGTCCTAAACTCATTTTCTTATTTACGTAATGGATACAACCTGTTTCATACGGTTGCAGGAATGTAGCAGCGGTTAATACATTAAAAAAAAAAAAAAAAAAAGTGCTTAACACCAAGGCAGACAACAGTTAAGAGCTCAGCAGTTGTTACTATTGTTACTGTTCTTGTCTGACACAACATTCTCTTTCTAGTTGCTCCCACAACCCTCTGCTCCGGGTCCTCCATTCCAGCGCGCTGGAATTTCACCACAGTTCGTTACAGTTTTTCCAGTGTTTCGTACATCTCACTGCTACCTAAGAATGACACACAGTGGACACTTGGTCCTTGTCTGAGCGATTAATGCAGGTTAGTAGGAAAGGACGTGTATGTTTATGAACTACTGTAATGCAATGTGTGGAAGGAAGAGTGTGGCCGGATTTTATTTTTAAAGACATGTCGAATTGAAAAGTGCTGAGTACCAAGCCGTGCCGTCCCTGCGGCCCCCCCAAGCCCCCCCCTCCAGCTGTGGTGATTGAGACTGGGCATGGTGGTGCACCTGTAATCCCATCGCTTGGGAGTTTTAGAGAAAAAGAGAGAGAGAGAGAGAGAGAGAGAGAGAGAGAGAGAGAAAGTGCTGAGTACTAAGAGCATTGGAGGTGGGCTCCAGAGACGGCATGGGTTGAGTCAGAAAGAAATGGACCTTGGCCTACAGAAATAAACGCTAGGTCACTCCTTGGGCTGCCATGGTGAGGAACTGCTAAGGAGAAACTGTTTTGAGTACAGGCTCTCAGCCCTGCCCCACCTGTGAACCCTGAAAACTGCAGGGCTGACTTAATTGCCCGGGGTGTGGCCTGGGAGTTGAGGTTTTAAAAAACCTCAGGAGACCCTAATATGCAACAAGATAGAGGCGGCTGATCTAAAACCATAAATTCTACAAATTCATCTCTTATACTCTGTATAATTTTTTTTTAATTTTTTAAAAAATATTTTTATTTACGTGTGTGTGGGGGGCCAGCTCAGCCCACCAGGGGGCGGGGCTGGCTGGCATGTGGTTCTGGGGGATTGAACCGTGGTCCCTGTGCTTTGCTGAGCTTGTTCTAAGTAGGTGCCCTAGACCACTGAGCCATCTCACCAGCCCTATAATTGTTTTTAAGAGATGCAAAAATTGTAATCCTGTTATCACCACATGCTACCACCTGGTAGAACTGTTGAGGACCAAGGTAAGGTAATGAATATGAGAGGACCTAATACAGTACAAGGAGGTGCTCGTGAACGGAAATTGATTTTTTTTTTTATTGTGGCAGAACTGGGGATTGAACTCAGGCCCTTGCGCTTGCCTGGCAAACACTTATTCTACTGAGCCATCTCCCCGGACCTGTAAATTGATTTTGAATATCATAGAGTCATATATTTGAGAATCTAATTTAAATGTTATGGTTTCATATAATATTTTCATTTAATTTTAAGATATTTGTGAGACTTTGCATAACCTATATATGAGTCACACGTCCCCTGCTTCATGAACCCTAGTTTCGAAGTCTGGGTGTAGATGGATATGGTGGCAGTGCATGCCTGTAATCCCAGCATTTGGGAGCCTGAGGCAGGACAATCACCCAAATTCTAGGCCAGCCTGGGTTACATTAGTGAATTCAAGGCCAGCCTGAACTACATGGTGAGATGCTGTCTCAGAGAAGTGAAACAACAGAAGTCTAGTTCAAAAACATTTATTTATTTATTTTTTTTAAATATTTATTTATTTATTTACTTATTTATTTATTTATTTTGTGTGTGGCCAGTTCAGTCCACCAGGGGGCGGGCGGGCTGGCATGTGGTGCTGGGGGATTGAACCGAGGTCCCTGTTCTTTGCTTGGCTTAGCTTGTTCTAAGTAGGTGCTTTAGACCACTGAACCATCTCACCAGCCCCTCAAAAACATTTAGTGTCACAGGGTTTTGTTTGTTTGTTTGTTTGTTTGTTGGTGGAACCAGGGATTGAACTCAGGCTCTTGTGCTTGCCAGGCAAGCTATTATTCTACTGAGCCATCCTCCCAGCTCTCTAAAACATTAGAATAAAACTCAAGGTTTGTGTTTTTCATAAACTTAAAAAGTATGTGTGTGGGCCAGTGAGATAGCTCAGCGTACTAAAGCGCCTGCTTATGCAAATTGAGGCAAGTTTAGGGACAGCAGTTCGATCCCCGGCATGCTGGCCAGAGTCTGGCACACACCTATAAATCTTAGCGCTTGGGATGCTGAAAACAGGAGGATCATTATGAGTCTAGGCTGTGTAGTGAGACTGTATACCAACCAAATACATTTTTTTAAAAAAGTGAGTGTTCTTGTTTTGTTTCTGGGGATGTGTATGAGGCCCTGGGTTCAATCCCTAGCACTACCAAAAAAGGGAGAGAAGGAAAAAGATAAATTTCCTATCAAAGTTAATCTATCTCTGCAAATGTTAATTCATGGGCGCGATAGAGAAAAAACTGGAGGCACATGAGCGATGAAACAATCTAAGAAGGAAAAGAGAAAAAATAAGCCCCACCGAACTGAGCATGTTTGTTGTGGGGTGTAGTGTCCTGTGCCTGTGGTGTTCCTCCCCAGCCTGAGGGCAGTCAGATAAGGCCCCTGGCGGGCAGGGAACATGCTGTGCGCCCCCTTAACCACATAATGCATTCTGTTGTAGGAGAGTAAGGCCCATATGCGACTGTAGATAAGGATTGGCTGTATGTTAGAATGAGTTTGACTTACATGGCGATAATGGAAACTTGGAATTTAAATTTCATATTTCTGACACATCCTTCACACTGCTTTTTTGCAGATGGCAGAATTTGGGTCGTGGATCTAACATGAGCCCCGCATCTTGGCGTCCTACCCAGCTTCAGCAGTCTCAGCTCCACCCGCTGGAGAATGAATGGGCTTTGCACAGATTACAAAGAGCACTGAAGCACAGACTGCAGCGCTGATACTGTCTCCTTCCGGTTGCTATTAACAGGTGCTAACTGACCTCAAGTGGAGCATGTCCCTGCGCCTCAGGATGCAGCCTGAGGGGGGTTGTTGACTTTGTGGGGAAAGATAGCTTTTAGAACAGGGAATGATTTGCACTGGATTTGTTTAACTTTTATGTTAAGTTTTATAATGAGAAAACTGTTATAGCCTAACCTTTTGGTTTTGTACATTTCAATTTTTTTTTCTTCAAAGAGTGTCGTTGAGAGGGGAGCAACTACAATTATGCCCAACATTTTAATTAAGAATGATAATTTTTAATACTGATTTTATGGATTTTCATTGTATATTTCCTGTGTCTTTCAATCATCACAATTGAAAAAGCATTGATTTATGCTTTAATTATAGGATATTTTGATTGTTAATGTTACCTAAAAGAATGGTAACTTAAAATTAATGGCCTTGGGCCGGGGAAATGGCTCAGTAGAATAAGTGCTTGACTGGCAATTGCAAGGATCTGAGTTCAATCCCTGGTTCTGAAAAAAAAAAAAAAAAAAAAAAAAAAAAAAAAAAAAAAACAAAATTAATGGCCTTGTAAATTTGACAAAAATCTGGTGTTCTTTCAAATTTTTTTTTTTTTTTTGCGGAACCGGGGATTGAACTCAGATCCTTGCGTTTGCCAGTCAAGTGCTTATTCTACTGAGCCATCTCCCTGGCCCCTTCTTCTGTATTTAGGACAGGGTCTACAGGGTCTCACTACACAGATCAGACTTGTAGTGATTCTCCTGTTTTCAGCCTCCCAAGTGCTGGGATTGCAGGTGCGTGCCACCACGCCCAGTCTCAATAGAATTCTCAGCACACGCAGGGGTGGGGAACGGGGAGCACTGCATGGTGCGGCATGCCAGAGATTGAACCCCTGCCCCTGCACTCTGCCTAAGCAGGCACTTTAGTTCTCTGAGCTATCTGACCAGCCCTAAAATAGTTTGTGATTTGTCCTCCCTAAAGTTTTTTTAAAATTGTACTTTTTCTTAAATCAGTCATAATACCTGATAAAATCAGCAAATAAAAGCACATCAACCACCCATTTTTGAAAAAGACCATCTTTCCTGCAAAACTGATAGCATGGTAGGCACAGCTGTTGGTTTCAGTTTAGCAGAAACTTGAGGTCGTTAATCTCTTGTAGTTGTTAGTGCGGAACATTTGCTTTATGTACCATTGAACTTGCCCCAACATTGCATTTTTCTACTCTTAACTGATTCAAATGATTATTTTCAATTCCTCAGAAAAGTAAATGTCGTCAGAAGACCGAGAAGCTCAGGAGGATGAATTGCTGGCCCTGGCGAGTATTTATGATGGGGATGAATTTAGAAAAGCAGAATCTGTCCAAGGTGGAGAAACTAGGATCTATTTGGATTTGCCACAGAATTTCAAGATATTTGTGAGAGGTCAGTTGATAATATGCACCTACCTAGATTTTTCCTTAATGAATATTTACAGCTTTTTAGTGTACTCTAAACTGTGCCATTTTGAGTTTATAGGCATTAGTGATAGATGATGTTATTGCAAACTTTGTCCATTTTTTTCTTAATAGAATGAGAGTAAAATAGTGTGTAGTTTACGTCCACCTTTTTAACAACTGAATTGGGGTATCCCCCCCCCCCTTTTTTTTTGAGACAGGGTCTTGTTGTATAGTTCAGGCTGGCCTTAATCTCCCTACAGAGCCCAGTCTGGCCTTGAACTTGTGGCAGTCCTCCTGCCTTGGCCTCCTGAGTGCTGGGATTATAGGCACTGCCACACCTGGATTTCCTGCATATTTTGTGCATACTGTCTACTAGTTGGAGTTTATCAGCCAGGAGTCATCTATAGTTAAGAGGATAATCAATGAGAAAGTGAAACACATCTGTGAAAACACTTGGATTGTACGGTGGTGGTGGTTAATGCTATTTGATTTCTAGAATCATTTCAACTGCCATAAACAAGTGGCACATGTTACTCTGTGACCTTTTGCTTCAGTAGAAACAAAACTCTCTTGGTACATTCACAGAAGACGTTGACCCTTTTTCATGATGTTTCTACTCTAGTCATTGAGTAAAGAACACATAATCATTTTCAATGAAGCTGAATGTGGTAGTGTGTACTGTATCTTGTCCTCACACCTGAGATTGTGCTGGCAGAAATATCCCTCGCTATGATTCATGGGTAGTTGGCACATGCTGGTCAAAGTAAGTTACACTTGGTTGTTAGATAGAGATAAATGTTCTTTTTTCTAGGCTGTCATTTAATCACCTACTGTAAGCCAAAAATGAAAGAAACATTTTTATATTAATCATTAGTGTCAGAAGTTGTACTGGGAAAGTTATAGTAGAATACATGTGCGTCTTCATACATTTCATGGTGCCATGTAGATTTTTCCAAGATTAGATTTTTTTTTCTTAAGGTGGTGGCTATGAAGTTAAAATCAGGGATTAGAAGGTGCTTTGGGGGAGGATTCTATCCCCTCAACTAAAGCATTAAGTTTTTTTTTTGAGAGCTTTGCTCACCAGTAATGGACACTCAAGTGTTGACCAACTGCTCCTTTCTCATTTTTGTTTTCGGTTCAGGCAATTCAAATGAGTGTCTCCAGAATAGTGGCTTTGAATACACCATTTGCTTTCTGCCTCCACTTGTGCTGAACTTTGAACTTCCACCAGATTATCCATCCTCCTCCCCACCTTCATTCACACTTAGTGGCAAATGGCTGTCACCAACTCAGGTAGACCCAAAACTTAATTTCTCCTATCCATTTTTAGAAACTTACAAAATCATCTCTAATTGAAGACTACCCTGATGATCTTGAGTTTGCTGCATGAAAAACAAATGACTTTGATTTTGTAATTTTTTTCCCTTCATGAATCCTAATGTTAATGAATTGGAAATGTTTGTTGATATAAAAGGAATGGCAGTAACTGAGTGATTAATCATCATGATTGACCTATGAATTGTAAGAGGAGTAATTTTCAATCAAGTATATTGTTTCTTGTCTTACTATTTATTTTCCCATTTAATCTCTATTGTAATGGAGACTGAGATCTTCCTCATTTTCCTTAGACGTTGGTACTTTTTCCCTTTGGTTTCTTATCCATTTGTTAAATAAGCGATTTTATTGTAATGAGGACTCGAAATTGAGCTAATGTAGCAATGAAAAACAGATTTCATGAGTAAGTAGACATACTTTTCTCCATAAAAATCCCTCCTATTAGTAACAACTGTTGATTTTTGTCACTTAGAATTAAATGGACACAGAGGTGTGTGCAGTTCTTACAGATATTTCATTAAGATTTGTGACCTTCAGCTGGATGTGGTGGTACACACTTACAACTCTAGTACTCAGGAGGCAGAGGCAGGAGGGTCACTGCAAGTTCAAGGCCAGACCAGGCTGCATAATGAGCACAAGGCCAGCTTGAACTGCATATTGAGACTGTCTTTAAAACAAAAAAAATTCTGGCCTTCATTCTCCCTTAGGTTATGTACCTCTAGATTATGTATTAAGTTCTCATAAGACCCTCAACCTTTTTTTTTTTTTTTTTTTTTTTGGCAGAACCAGGGATTGAACTCAGGCCCTTGCATTTGCCTGGGAAGTGCTTATTCCACTGAGCCATCTCCCCGGCCCAACCATTTTTTAATAGTGTATAATAATTGTGAGTACTTATGCAGTACAGTGTGATTTCCACAAATATGTATAACGCATTCTGGTCAAATCAGAGTTATGTGTAGCATTTCTATCTCCCTGTTCATACTTGGAGCCTTCAGCTGTCTCTTCAACTTCAGCTCTTGATTGAGACATAAATAGGACTTGAAGCTAATGGGAAGTATTCTGGTATGTAATGGATCGATAGCAGCTACTTTTCTAGAAGTCATGAAGATTGATAGGCTAAGTGTACTAAGACAGAAGTTGTCTTGAGTGACTGACCTCAAGGAATAGCTCATTACTAATCCATATAATTTTTATTCCCTCACTCACTGACCTTTTAAAGGAGCATGTTTTTTCATAATTGAGATTATGTTTTAGAAGAACTTCACAGATAATACATGTAGAATAAAAAGGAATATTGCTTTACATTGTGGTATTTCTGCTAACGGGTACAGGATAGTTCATTACTCGCCCAGGAATATCAAGACTGTAGGGAGTTTCCTTCTCTTTTTTTGCTAGAATTGGGAATTTAGCCAGGGACCTCAGATGTGCTAGCCAAGTATTCCATCGCTGAGTTTTTTTAAAATTTTGAGACAGGGTTTCACAAATGTGCCCAGGCTGGCCTTGAATTTGTGTCCTGGCCTCCCAGGTAGCTGGCGTTGCAGGTGTGCTCAATGCATCCTGCTGAGACTGTTTCATAGTTAGGTCACTGACAGTTAGGAAAGTATTTAGATGTTTGTAGTCCCATTTCTCTGAGAGCTCTTGGTGTTTTACCATATGTGTGTAAGCAGCAAACACAGGTCAGATTAGTTGGTTATGGGGGTAGAGTTTCAGACTCTAGAATCTACTTAATGCTGCCTTTTGGGGGTTTATATGGAGGAAGAGGGTTGTCCAATATTTTATGTTTTACAGCTAAAATTATTAGAATTATTCATCAAATATGCACAGAATTGACATCTTAATTTCTTTTATGTTTTTTCCCTTTTTTTTTTTTTTGTTACTGCGTCTCGACTCCTTGGTGTTGTGAATTGCCCCCACTGCCAGTGAGACTGAACGGACCTGCCATTCCCTGAATTGGGGTGGTGGATGGGATTAGGATGTGGACTGGGTCTTCTGGATTTGCCATTGCTCCTCCTCAGTGTACACACACACGCAGGGTCTCTCTTGCTGTCTTCTGTGTCTGCCCCCCCTTTGGGGGGGGGGACCAGGGATTGAACTCAGGCCCTTGCGCTTGCCAGCGAGGTGCTCATTCCACTGAGCCGTCTCCCTGGCCCCACGCCCCTCCCCCTTTAACATTTGTGTGCATCCCTGCTGCCTCCTGAGAAGAGGCTGCAGAAGGGACTGGAGGAGAGCGGCTTCTTCATTGGACCTGGTAGTTCATGTGGCACACAAACATTCTCTCTGAAGTATTTGTTACATTTTACAGATTTTCGCAGGTTTCTCACATGTGTGGTAGATAGATGCCTCTGTAAACAAATGTGAAAAAAGCACTTGTTTAATCATGTTACTAAGTCTGGGTTAGCACCTGTGCAGGGCTTAGTTGGTAGCATTGTGCAGAGCAAAGGATAGAAGATGTCTTTTTTCACTTGTTATTTAAATTTACAAATTTCTTTGCCATCTGGAAGACTTATTTTTGGTTGTTTACCCAAAACAGAAAAGCAGCTTATAATTCCTGAGCTCTGTTACAAATATTCTACATTTCTAATGGAAAAATCCTCTTACATTTGCCTTTCAAATCTAAGAGACCTATTTATATTGTTCACTCATTTATTTTTTTGTGGTACTGGGTATTAAAGTTTAGGTTTTTGCACTGAGTTAAACCTCCCCTTTATTTCAGATTTTGAGACAAGATCTTGCTAAATTGCCCAGGCTGGGCTTGAACTTTTGGTCTTTGAGGCACACATCATGACGCCCTGTTGAATAGGCCACTCTTAAAGAGCAAATGTCAAAATAGTTTAACTTGGGTCACTTTAGGAACTGTGACCTTTCTGCTTGGTGGCCAAGCTACGCGCAGGGTTTGTAATTATGTTTAGATTCAAGGTCAGTCTGCTTCCGCCATATTGATCAGGATCTGACTTCAGCCCACATTGTGTGATGAAAAAATAGCTTGCATATCTGAAAAACAAGAACTCTGAGGTTGAATTCTGCTAGTGATTCCTTCAGATGAGTTGGCTTTTTGATGGGGTTGGAAGAATTTAATTTTCTTTTTGTGGAACAGGGGATTGAGCTCAGGCCCTTGCACTTGCCAGGGAAGTGCTTATTCTACTGAGCCATCTCCCTGGCCCGAATTTTAAAATTTGGATAGTGTTTTAATATTTTAAAATTTAGTTTATAAAAACAAAGAGTAACGGGCCAGCCAAATAATTCAACAGATTAAAGTGCCTGCTTAGGCAGATACAGGGGCCAGGAGTTTGATCCCTGGGCCTGCCATGCCAGCCCTGTCCCTGACTGGGCATGATGGCATGTGCCTGTAATCCCAGCACTTGGGAGGCTGTAAACAAGAGGATCACTATGAGCCCGATCTGCACAGTGAGACCCTGTAGACCCTGTCCTAAAATACAAAAAAAACAAAGAGTATCCTGAACTATAGGGTACATAGTATGTGATGCTTTAGTACATGTACTGTATATGTTGTCTGATATTTAGATCATTATAAGCATACTCATATCATTTCTTTTTCTTCTTTTTTTTTTTTTCTTTTTGGTGGAACCAGGATTGAACTCAGACCCTTGCGCTTGCTAGGGAAGCACTTATTCTACTGAGCCATCTCCCTGTCCCCTACAGTTATCATTTCTTTACAATAAAAACATTCAAAATCTTTTTCTTTTCTTTCTTTTTTTTTTTTTTTTTTTTGCGGATCCAGGGATTGAACTCAGGTCCTTGCACTTGCCAGGGAAGTGTTTATTCTACTGAGCCATCTCCCCGGCCCAAAATCTTTTTCTTTTAACTTTTTTTTTAAATGTATTTAGTGCAGTGTCTACAGGGTCTCACTGCACAGATTGGACTCATAGTGATCCTCCTGTTTTCAACCTCCCAAGAGTTGGGATTATAGGCATATGCCACCAGTCTCAGTCTCCATCTGAGCATTCCCCAGGGGCAGGCTGGCACAGCATGCCAGGTATCAAACCCAGTCCCTGCATCTGCCTAAGCAGGTGCTTTAGTCCACTGAGCCATCTGGCCGTCATCTCTTAACTTTTTTTTTTTTTTTTTTGTGGTACTGGGGATTGAACTCAGGACCTTGTGCTTGTGCTTGCCAGGCAAGCACTTATTCTACTGAGCCATCTCCCCGGCCCTTTTACACTTTTTTTTTCTCTGTCAACTTTTTGAAGTAGACGGTTCGTTATTGTTATCAGTAGCCACTTACTGGGCAGTAGCATGCCATAACTACTTTCTGCTGTGTAACTGGGTACCTGCTGATCATCCTCCCACTGTTCTTTTTTCCCAGCTTCTGGCGATTACAATTCTACTTCACATGTCCGTGAGATTAACATGAGTGATGTGATGCGGTATTCCATCTTTTTGTGCGCAGCTCATTTCACTGCATGTCATGATTTTCATCAGTTCTGTCCATGTTACACTGTAAATGACAGGACTTTGTCCTTTTTGATGGCTGAATAGTTTTCTGCTGTGTTATATACTACTTTTTCCATTCATCTTTATTTTTTTTATTTTTTTTTAAGAAGAATCCTTTATTTTATTTTTTTTAATTTTTATTTATTTATTTTTACATTTTATTTATTGTGTGTGTGGCCAGTTCAGCCTACCTGTGGGCGGGGCTGGCTGGCATGTGGTGCTGGGGGATTGAACCGCGGTCCCTGTGCTTTGCCAAGCTTGTTCCAAGTAGGTGCTTTAGACCACTGAGCCATCTCTCCAGCCCCTCCATTCATCTTTAAATAGACTTAACTTGTTTCCATCTCTTGCTGCAGTAAGCATGGATGTGTGGATGTCTCTGACTTAGTGATTTCTTTTTCTCTGCTATGTACCCCATACTGGAAGGGCTGGATCATATTATAGAGCTATTTTTCAGTTTTTGAGGAACCGCTATACTCTTTTTCCATAATCCCTACAGTCATCTTACATTCTCACCAGTGCTGTAGAAGCTTCCCTTTTCTCTGAATCCTTGCCTTGCTGGCACTTGTTTCTGATTATAGCCACTTTTACGGGATGGAGCTGATGTCTCACTGTGGGTTTCGATTGGCGTACTCCAGTCAGTGATGCTGAACGTTGTGTCTTCATGTAGCTGCTGGGGTGTGTGTGTGTGTGTCTTGAGTTCTGTCCATTTAGGTCTGTGAACCGCACCCTCTTGGGAAGGCTAAGCATGAGGGTCTGGAAGGTGCTGTGCACGTCCTCATTAAGCCACACACTACTTACTACTTGCTTACCGCTGGCCCCTCTTGCTTCCGTGCTTTATTTATTCACTATTGAGGTCTTGAAGTTCCTTGGAAAGTCTGGTTAGCAAACCGCTTGTCAGATGTATGCCTTGCAAATATTTTCTCTTTCTGTAGGTTGGGTCTGAGCTGTGTTGCTTCTTTGGCCATGCAGAAGCCTTCTAAAATTTGATTCAGTCCCTTTTGCTTCCGTTTGCTCGTGTTTTCTGTGGTTTTGGAATCTTGTCCAAAAGTTCATGCCCGTTCCAGCATCTCAGAGCATTTTCCTTCTACAGTTATATAGTTTCAGGTTTTACATTTAAGTCTTTAATTTGAATTGATGTTTGCAGCTGATAGAAAATAAAGGATTGGATATCCAATTTTCCTGGCACTAGTTACTGAAAATATTTCTTTCCTAGGTTTTATTGATTTTTTTGGGGGGGGTATGTATATACATGTGAATGTTTTTTATAGAACTAAGGAGCAAACCTAGGGCCTCCTCGTGCATGGTGAGCAAATGTTTTACCACTGAGCTACACCCCCATCCCTGAGGTGTTTTCTAAGTATTCTAGGGTACCTACAGAGCTAGGACTCCTGTAGGAAGAGGCAGAATTCATTTTAGAAGCAGATCTCAGTCAGGCATGGTGGTGCATACCTATAATCCTAGCACTGGGAAGGCTGAGGCAGGAGAATTGCTGCAAGTTTAAGTCCAGCATTAAGTATATAGTGAGATCCTGTCTCAAAAAATCAAAAGAAAGGAAAGAAAGAAGTAGATCTCTTTCTCCAACATGAGCAATAGAGCAAACATACGAAAACAAACTAACAAGCTGGGTGCAGTGGTGCACACCTATAGTCCCAGCACTGAGGAGGCTCAGGCAGTAGGATTGCCATGAGTTTGAGGACAGTCTGGGCTACATAGTGAGTTCAAGGCCAGTCTAAACTACTTAGGGAGACCCTGTCTCAAATAAATGCATGCATACATACAAAAAAGAAAATATCCAGTTCACAAGTTGCCATGCAGTTATTTTTGGATCTTCCGGAGTTTTACCATTTCTCCTGCTTTTGTGGTATTTGTGTGCTGTGGTTTATGTTGCTGAGTAGTTTATAAATCCTTTGGTGAGGATGTTAGTCATGTTTTGTAGTGGTTTAGAACGATACAGTAGGATGTGTGAGGGGCTAATTTTACAAGTCTCAAAGATTCAAAGGGAGACGAGGAGTTCGGAGCTTTATCTTTCCCAACTCACAGCGCCTTTGTGTGATTTTTCCTAGCTCTCTGCCCTCTGCAAGCACTTAGACAACCTGTGGGAAGAGCACCGGGGCAGCGTGGTCCTCTTCGCCTGGATGCAGTTTCTTAAAGAAGAGACCTTAGCATATCTGAATATTGTCTCTCCTTTTGAGCTCAAGATGGGTGCTCAGAACAAGGTGCAGTGGAGGACAGCTCAGCCCTCCCCCAGCACAGAGGCGGATTCTGGAGGAGCGGTTGGATCCAACGCAGAAGACCAAGAGGAAGTGGTGGATGAGAGAGCTGTGCAGGATGTGGAATCATTGTCAAGCCTAATCCAGGAAATCTTGGACTTCGATCAAGCGCAGCAGATGAAATGTTTCAATAGTAAATTATTCCTGTGCAATATCTGTTTCTGTGAGAAGCTGGGTAGCGACTGCATGCACTTCCTGGAGTGCAGGCATGTGTACTGTAAAGCGTGTCTGAAGGACTACTTTGAAATCCAGATCAAAGATGGCCAAGTTCAGTGTCTCAGCTGCCCAGAACCCAAGTGCACTTCCGTGGCCACCCCTGGGCAGGTAATCTCTATGAAGGACTGCCTCCTAATTCTCTTGCACAGAGAGAACCTTCTCCAGAACTCCCTCGGTAGGGGTCGTAGGGCAGGCTCAGATCTTAAAGCCAGCCTGCACGTTGCTCCATCGCCTCCATCGGTAATGCGGTGGCCTGCCAGGGCACATCTGTAGTCCCAGCACTTTGGAAGCTGAGGCAGGAGGATTGTAAGTTTGGGCAACTTCATGAGACTATGTCTCAGAATGAAAAAGGTAGGAAGTGCAAGGGATGTAGCTCAGTGCGAAGGCCCCAAGTTCAGTCCCCACTGTGACCAAAAAAAAAACGTGGTCTTTATTACTTAAGCAAATGTAAGTACTGCTTTGATGGTTTTGGAGGAGTGATAAAAATGTAATTATGAAGTCTGGTGAGTTATTTTGGATATGTGTTAGCATAAGTACAACCCACTTGGTTTTAATTTTTGTTTCTTTAAATCAATTTTACTGAGGTACGATTTGGCTTACAATAAACTATACCCATTTAATTTATATGGTTGCTTAGTTGGCCAGATGTGTAGAACTATGCAGCTACCATGTCAGTCACCAGGCGTGTCCAGCCTCTGCCTGCTGGGGTTTTTCCTTTTTAATGTTATAATAAACAGGTGTGGTGGCACACGCTTGTAATCCCCACACTCAGGAGGGATCACTGAGAGTTCAAGGCCAGCCTGCATAATGAGTTCAAGTTATCTTGCACTTCACAGTGAGAGTCTGTCTCAAAAATAAAGGAAGTTTTTATATATATTATACATGAACTATATATTAACTATGTTATATATATTCACTATCTTTTCTTGGGTACTGGGAATTAAACTCAGAACCTCACAATTGCCAGGCAAGTGATGTGCCACTGATCTAAACCCTGGCTCCTATTTTATATGTGGCTCAAGATGATTTCTTTTAGGGCTGGGGAGACAGCTCAGTAGAATAAGCACTGGCCTGGCAAGCACAAGGTCCTGGGTTCAAGCCCAAGTACCACAAAAAAAGAAAAGAAAA